ATGATTATATGATATATCCATATATATATATATTTATAAATATTGATTATATGAAATATCCATATATAATGACTATATGATTTATCCATATATTTCATGATTATATGATATATCCATATATCATGGTTATATGATTTATCCATATATCATGATTATATGATATATCCATATATAATGATTATATGATATCTATATATGTATATAATAATAATTATATGTATATATATATATATATGTTATAATGATTATATTCCATTATTATATGGATATACCATTCTATGATTTTGCATGGTGAAACCCGTGGTGAGCACTACATAGCGAAGAATGGCGAAAGTTGTAGCTAAAATTACCGGGACCAAACATGGTGATTTTGCAAAGCCATCCTGAATTACTGGAAGGCATCCCTTTTTGGTGCGATCGATATCTCAAAAGCTTTTGACACGAGTCGTAAATGGTGTCTCTTTTTTTGGGGGTTGCAATCCAGCTACAAATCGATAACACATGAAAACACCATGTTCAGGCACCTATTGATCCCCAACGACGATTCCTGGAATGATGTTGCAAGTAGGTGGACCACTTGCTGTAATAGTTGATTGTTGGGTGTCTTCATTTTATGGTTGTTTGTAATCCAGTGTTTCTTTTTAGAGATCTTTTGGTCCTTCTTTGTTTCTTTTGTTTCTTTGGGTTTACTCACGTGACCTTACTTTCAAGTACTCTTAAGGTTTTTTTTCTGATTTAATTTCTGACTTTCAATCCTTTTCTATTATACAAGTAATAAACCCCATATGCTCCATGGTGCTGGAATATTTACCATCATTTACCCCATAAATGGCCCAAATGTAGGTAAATATACCATACATGGAGCATATGGGAGCAGGCCCCAAGTTTTAAACAGAAGCCGATTGAATTATGTTGAAATCGTCGTTGAAATCCACCGTCAGGTTCGGTGTGTTGGAAGAGTCCGGTTCGCTAATTGCGGTCAACGTCGCTTGGCCGCGCAGGGGATGTCGATAAAAAGTTGGGACCCACATGTTGGGTCAATTCGTTCCCCCCTGGAAATCAATCATAAACTACACAAGTTCTGGGAAGCCTTCCATTTGAGCGGACCCAGTGAAACACTACGAGATTTTAAAGGTTGCACTCTCCTCACATCACAGATTTTCAAGAGGTACACTATGGTACACTTACCTCACACATGGACTGCTTCCGACTTCCGACAGGTTTGGCGCATTAGCATCCCAAGGACGGGGACACATGAAATCTGAGTTTCCCTTGAGTCCACTGTTCGAATTTCCTGGTGATCCCCAAAATGGGGCAGGAAATTTATGGAGGAAGAGGTGATGGATGAGGACAGCTCAGAGGCGCAAAGTCCAGTAACAACTGGGGGAAAACCCTGAGAAAGGCTACTTGCAAGGCCGTTAGTTGAATATACTTTAATAGTGTGCTATAAACGGGGACGCAATGAAACATGTAATGAAACACACACAGAGAGTCACATATATATACATACACATTAATATTCTAAGCTGCAAAAAATATCATCGGATGGGTCTACTGTGGATGTTTGTCTCCGGGTTCGCCGAGCTGAACAAGGAAATGATGGGTTGTTCAAGCCGCACTATGTCACTATGGTAGGGAGGAATTCAAATGTTATTCCAGTGTGGTTTGATATGCTTTCTCTGAACATGTTTTGAGTGTAATGTGGGTAAAACAAAAAATATAGAATCCCCTAAATCACCATAAATAGGTGGTATAAACTATTTACAGATGGATGGTTTATTAATGTTTGACCCTATCAAGTCATTTTCAGACACATGCTTAAATATCACAATGAGAGGTTATATCCTATGACAACCATCCAGGCGAGGTGACGTTGACTCTGCCTGGTTATGTCCTTGAAGCCACCAGGTATTTCCAGGGGTTTTCATAAATGCAAAAATCACCAAAATGGATCAAAATGGTTGGCTTATAATATCAAAACGGATGATTTCGGGGTACCCCCATGACTTAGGAAACCACCAATGCAGGGAAAAAACACACTTTTTTTTTTTAAAGTGAGGTCAGCCAAATCTCGTCAAAAAGAAAGAAACCATGTTCAATTCCCTGCCTGGCGATCCGAAGATCCAGTCACACGACCTGCGCAGGTTTTGTTTCACCCAGCTGGGTGATTGGGGATTACTACCCATGACAGGGAATAACTATTAACCATTATTAACCATTATTAACCAACAAGTATTTTCATCTTTGAATGGGCATGTCAGCAACTCTATATCACCTACCAGGCAGATCTACGAAAGCCATACAGCCTTGAATATGAACCCGAAGCCCCTAGTGGAATTCGTGTATTGGGCTTGGGAAATTTGGGAAGCAAATTCCTGGTGTGTTTGTTGGGTTGCAATGCCAGTTGGTCAGTGGCAACATGTGGCAACTATCGCTAATTGGTACCTTTCTTCTGGCTGATCTCAAAGTTATCTCATTTGCAAGCACTGCATGCCATTGTGTGATCCCCAAACAGAAAGACATCCAAAAACATGCAAAGACCTAGAAGAAGCTAGTACAAACATCCATGTCATGAACGTTCTTGTTTGTTAGAACCAGAAAATTCATGGCATGGCATGGCACGCTAGTGCAACCTGCCAACACGGCTGGAGGATGCTTCTCCTGCGCAGCCAACGATCGTCCAAGCAGATTTCAAGGTGAGAAATTTTGCGACTGATGCAACCAATGGAAAATCGCAATTTTCAATTGGTAAATCCACTATTTCTATGGGCATTTTCAATAGCTATGTTAAATTACCAGAGGGTAATAGGAATATTTATCCCAAATGAATAGCTGGTACCAACGAAAGCGGGGGAGAACTAATCTGGTTGGTGGTTTCAAAGGGGAGATCATTGGAAAATACCATAGATATATCCCCTATATACCATAGCTGGTTGGTGGTTTCAAACATGACTTTTATTCCCCACCTGCCAGGTGAGGGTTGTTAGATTTTATCAGAGTTGTTCTCCTCCTCTGCTAGCTGTCCTCCTCCTCCTCCTCCTCCTCGTCCTCGTCCTCCTCCTCGTCCTCCTCCTCGTCCAGTTTCTCCTCGGCCATGTCTGCATCAACTTCCATCTGCACTTCCGCCTTGCCAATTCTTGGCCAAGCTCTTTGCCAACTCTCTTCGCCAAGCTCTTTGCCAACTTCCCAGCTCAGCGTGCACCGCTGGACCTCACCCTGGGACCTTCCCAGCTCAGTGTGCACCGCTGGACCTCAACCTGGGACCTGCCCAGCTCAGTGTGCACCGCTGGACCTCAACCTGGGACCTTCCCAGCTCAGTGTGCACCGCTGGGCCTCAACCTGGGACCTGCCCAGCTCAGTGTGCACCGCTGGACCTCAACGGCCAGATAGAATGACAGAAGATATGTCAGAACATATGCAGATAGAATGCCAGAAGGTATGTCAGAATATATGCCAGATATGCCAGAAGCCATGAGATATGCCAGATAGAATGCCATGAAGATATGCCAGATAGAATGCCAGAAGATATGCCAGATAGAATGCCAGAAGATATGCCAGATAAATGCCAGAAGATATGCCAGATAGAATGCCAGAGAATAAAAGATGTGCCATGTGCCAGAAGAGAAGATGCCAGATAGCCAGAAGATAGAATGCCAGAAGATATGCCAGATAGAATGCCAGAAGATAGAGATGCCAGAAGATTTGCCAGATAGAATGCCAGAAGAATGCAGATAGAATGCCAGAAGATTTGCCAGATAGAATGCCAGAAGATATGCCAGATAGAATGCCAGATAGAATGCCAGATAGAATGCCAGAAGATATATCAGATAGAATGCCAGAAGATTTGCCAGTAAGATAGTCTATAAATGTCATGGTGGGGATCACACGAAGTAAAGTAATTTTCCATTTCAGATATGGGATGTCATCCTTCCCATTGACGACCTCCATCATTTTTCAAGATGGGCACATTGCACCACCAACCAGTAATCAATGTGATAAACCCGTCTGGCCATGTTTACCATCCCCAAGTCATGACCATAAATGGCTAGGATTGAAACCATTCCCAAATGGTTACTTTACTAGTGGGTTTCCCACAACACTTGGGAGTGGCAAAAGGATAAAATCGATACGACAGAAACCACAAACGAAGCCTCAGAAAAGGTGGTCACATAGACTGCGCCAGCACGGGGACATCTAGCCAGCAGAATTGGCATATCACCCACAGATTTAGACTTGCAGATAGTGGATCGTTGAGTTGCTGTGAAGTGTTACTTCGTGTTTGTTTGATCATTCATCCCAAGAATAAAACGAAAGATTTTAAGGACATCTTGGCAAATGAACAACTAACCCGGCACGGCGGCACGGCCGGGTTCGAACGGGTTCGGTAGATGATCTGTTCGATATCACCCTTGTGGAATTCCAGGCCTCAAGTTTACTGGTGACGAATAGCATCAAATGTCGTCAAAAAGTTGGGATGTCTAAATTGTAAAAAACAAGGCACGGGTAGATCCGGGTAGTATGTATATATATATAATTATATATATATATATGAGTTCAATTGAGATAGTTGAGTCCATGCATGGTCTTCAGACGGAAAGAGGTCTGAAACATCATAGAGGACCCTGTTGTGGTCTGCAGGATGCTTCTCCTCCCAAGCCAAAGACTATCGCAGCTGTGCGCCAGGCAGCAGAGTCCATTTGGGAAGTGGTACTGCTTTCTAAACACCCCTGGTGGTTGATGATGAATTAAGGCCTAGGATGTTGTACGTACTATCCAATTTTTAGATGGATGTGGGTCAAAATGGAAGACCTAGGGGACCACAGATGTGAATGTCTAGTTTAGTATTATTAACCATCCATAATTTTGGGGTACCTAATTTTGACCCATACCCAGATAGTTCCAAAAAAAAGGCCAATCGGGTGGTTTTTTTTTTTTCCGGGGACAATCCGAAGGATGGGAATCCCGATTCAACCATCCCAATGTTTTGATGATTTTCCCGTTTTTTCAATGGCCATAAAATGGAGCTCTATCCTGAAAATTTTGAGCCACAAGAATATACAATATCCATAGCAAACCTGCTATTTGAAGTCCACTTTTAAATCCCATTAATTTGATGTGAAATCCCTAGAGTTTTGATTTTTGATGCGTAAAAAAAATCATCAAAAATCCATGTTCAGCCCCTTTAAAGCTGCATCCCGGAACTTTTTCCTCCGTGCCTCCAGCTGGAGGAAGCCACGAAGCGCAGCTTGGAGACGCCTAGCCAGGCATCCGGCCAACGAATTACGCCGGAGTTTGGGCTGTTCCAAAGGCAGAAAAGATGGCGAAAAGACATGGAAAGACTATGTGATATTTGCCACCCAAGTGGAAGCGAGAATTGGCAAACAGCTGGGAATTCAAGGAAAACTGTGAAGCATTGCAGTCGGAGAACTTTCTGGCTTGAAGAGATTTCGGGCTAAGTTCCAGCGAGACGGATCCCCAATTCAATACCTTGGTATGTAGGGCTTTGGGAGACACGTTGGATGCGGTTCTCACCTTCAAATTCGATGGTGTATGCCCTTTTTCTCCCTTGTTCGCTGTTTGAAAGAACCGTTCTTTTTGAGCAAACGGCTGCAAAAAGCTTGCTAAACCACACATTTGGGTCTGTTTGAAAGAGGGGTATGTCCCCAAATGATCATAAAATATTATCAAATGATGCATCTATGGGAAACATCTGGAAATGAACCTAGACGAAGCCATGGTAAAATGATGTAAAATGGGGGTAGCCCATTTTCTGACGCCCCGGTTTGCCCAGTTGCATCCCACGGCTAAAGCGAAGGCGCCTCACCGAAGCAGTGGCTTACAGATGCTTCTAGTAATCCCCCAAAAAGATGGAAAAGTAAAATTCCTTCAGTGATAAACATATATGTACAATATATATATATGTTTTTTGGGTGTAACTGAAAATGATTTGAACATTGGTTTTCCGTAGAATCAGATGTTCATACATGCATTCAGTGAAAACGCGATAGCTTTCAATATCCGCTTAAATCAAGGTTGTGGATTCAGTACAAGTTCTCCAGCTCTTTTTTGTTCCAGGTTGAAGCCACCAGCCCATCAGTCCTGGCTGGGGAAACTAATCAGACATTGCCTAGTTGATGATGTTGAAGAGGATGTTGAGGTTGTTGACATTCCAACTGCGTTTTGTTTACAGATTTTGCAGCCGCTGTGAAAAAAAGATGTTGCGTACCCTCCATGGCTCACCCCAAGTATATCCGCTATGGTACACGTGTACTGTACCCCGATCCAACATGTTTTGTTCTTATTATATATAACTTAACTGGTTGGTGGTTTGGACCATTTTTTAATTTTTCCATGTAATGGGAATGTCATCATCCCAACAGACTTTCATATTTTTCAGAGGGGTAGGTATACCACCAACCAGATAATTTCTGATATAGATTACACAGTAGATTCAGTGTTTAGACATCGAATGGCTTATAATCTCAGGCGCTTCAATCGCCATTCGTGGGAAGCATGCAAAATGTCGATGACTTTCCATAGGGGATGGTTATCAGTGATAGTGGAATGAATGATCCTATATCATCCTATATCCATATCCATATTCCATATGCAATGTGCAATGGCCGTCGCACGACTCTGACTTTTTGTTACATCCCAATTTCACGGTGATTCAATGATACCTTGTATATCCTTGTATCATCTTGTATCCTTGTTTTCAATGGGAATTTCAGGATCCTAAATTGGAGGTACCTACCATATACAAGACCTATTTTTCACGCCTATGTAAGGGAATATCCCCACAAAATATGGCCAGAAATATGGTACTAACGTACCTCCATCTGTTGGATCCTGAAATTCCCATTGATGTTTTGTCATACACATGTCAGTGCACCAAAACTTTCATAAAAATTGCTAGGGGGATGTCATCAATCTATCCCAGATGCGAACCATGGTGCTGGTATATTTACCTACAAAACTGGGCCATAAAAATGGGGTAAATGGTGGGATTCATATTCCAGCACCATGGTTCGCATATGGCTATTTGGTAAGGTTTTACGGGTAACCATACTATGAGATTCCCACGGATGGAGACGGATGGCCATAGCACATTATGCCATGCATTGACCTTGGCACTATGCCACTAATATGAAAATGGCTAAATCAAATATCTGGTGGGTGGTTTGGAACATTTGGAACATTGGTTTAGTATGGGATAATTATATATAATTATGGTTAATAATGGTTCATAATGGTTCATAATCACTGGTTGGTGGTTTGGAACATGGCCTTTATGTTTCATATGTATTGGGAATAATCATCATCCCAACCGACTTTCATATTTTTCAGAGGGGTTGAAACTGCGAAACCACCAACCAGATATACCTTAAACCATGGCATTTGTAAATCTCTACTGAAGTACCTAAGAGTTACCACTGACTTGTGGGTCCATTGGTACCCCACGTTCAATCACCATTGCCATTCAAAGTAAAGTTCAATCCCAGAAGTGGTTTGAATCGAAATGTACAGATAAATCATTTTTCTAAATCTTGATTTAGGGGGAAAAGAAAACCATAGTGTTGTCCAAGTTCTCCCTTTAATCAAACCATTGAACCAAACAATATGCCTCAGGCCCCAGGGGCCCCAGGGGCCGGCATGCACAAGTCGGCTGCGTGCAGCCCTCGGCGTTTTTTTTCCATCGACGATGACGATGGTTCTGATAAGTGAGAATTACTATAACAAGTATATCAGTGGATATCAAAATTATGACATCAATTTATGAATATATAATTATGGATATATTACGCCCATATGCTCCATGGTGCTGGTATATTTACCTACAAAACTGGGTCATACAAATGGGGTAACTGGTGGGATTCAGATTCCAGCACCATGGTTCGCATATGGGATGGATACATCATGTATACATATAGATCCTGATGGCGTTTTTTTCTCAATTGTGAGGTGGCTGATAAACAAAAAAATATTGACCTCACTGGATTGGATCATGCCACTAGAGATGCGGCTATGGTTATGGTACCCTCTGGTAATGACTAACGTAGCTATTGAACATGGCCCAGTCGAAATAGTTGATTTCGCCAGCTATAAAATGCTGGATCTTTTGATAGTTATGTAATGTTATGTAAACGTAGAAACCATATAGTTATGGGGTAAAGCCCGGCAACTCTCATGAATTTGGGGTATGAACAACCAGCATCCAGCTATTTGGATGTGATCATATAATCAGCCAGACTCAAAGGGACCGCGGTAATCCTCTCCCCAGAGAATGAGCCATTAAAAAGCGGAGTAATTAACAAATAGACATGTTTTTGACCAGGATTACGTTTAGGGTTTAGGGTCTGATAACATATTAAAAATCCTAAACCATGTTTTTTTGATTTATAAAAAAACGGGGGGTTATTAACATTTATTAACCGACGTAATGTATTGTCGATTACACTCTGGTAAACTAACATAGCTATATGGTAAATCATCATTTTTAATAGGTTAAACATCTATAAATGGGCCATTTTCAATAGCTTATGTTCAATTACCGGAGAGTATATGTGATTATGATAAACCACAATCGGCAGAGCACCTATTAGATCCATCAGCCAATGTGGGTATCGCTGATTTTGAGGTTGCGCCAGGGTCAGAAACCTCAAAAAATCTCACCACAAAAAAAGTTTGCTAAAGAAATTGACATGCAGAACTACCGTTCAACTCTTTAGGATTTTAGTTTTGACCTTAGTTTTGACCTTTCTATCTTTTTTTGGTTGCTATATATAAAGCATGCATAAGAGATGCAGGTGAAGTATCCGCACCACGTAACTGCCCAAGATTTCCAAGGGAAAGGGCACTCCGACGCCTAGAGACCCCATTTCTGGTGATGGGTTGAAGACCTATCTGGATGATCGATGTGCATCGCAGCTAGTAACTAGTACCTTGGATTAGCTGGGCATATCTGATACATATATATATATATATGTATATATATGTATATATATATATATATATCCATAGAACTGGCTGGTCACACATGAATCGCTTGGGGTTTCTGGAATGCACAGAATGCACTGAGCATTTTCATGAAAATGTTCATTATCTGAACTCCACACCGTCCACAGGAAAACTGCGGCGGAGGAAGTGCAGACAAAGAAGGACGGCGGCGCATCTTCTGAAGAGAAGCAGTGGCCCAAAGCCACAGTTTTTAACAGGTCATTCATCCGCAAATGGGGACCAAGCTAGATGACCGGAGGGCAATTGTGTTCCTCACAGGTAGACGAGTTTACACTTCTTTCCAGTGAACCAGTGATGGTGACATGCTTTGCAGTTCAAGGACTGATCAATTCATGTATGCGCCTGTATTTCAACTGTGATGTCTACCCGGAAAATTTGCTGGTTGATGCGCACAAGGCATGACTTCCCATCGATCATCAATTTTCAAGGGATGTTGCAATAGGGTTCGGGCATGCCCCACATGATTCCTTCAACAACTCTCAAAGAAAATTCACACATGGTAGTCAAATGAATGCCTGGGTTTGGAAATGGGGATAGTCAGCCAAGAATCAGGATATCAGCGACGAAGAAGGATATAGAATTGGGGCACATCACTGATGAATTAGAAATGTGGAGATAAGAAACCACCGTTTACTCGACCTGCAGCTGAGATTGGCAGAATATGGACGGTCTTTTTGTTTGGAACATTCAACCAAGCAGACTCCCAAGCAGAGTGTTTCTCAACATGGGAGATACCCCCAAAAAAAACCACCAAATTGGTTTGCTTTACTTCGAAAAAACTCACGGGGGTCCCCTCATCAAGAAACCATTTGGACAGCCTCCCCGAAGATTTTTCATACCTCCCAGAAACCATGAAGGGTGATGGGATTAACCGCCCAAGGAATGGTGCAGCCAAAGATAGACATTAGACCAGACCATATCTGGTTGGTGGTGACTGGAACCATGGAATTTTGACTGACTTTCCAGAAACAGTTGGGAATGGAATTTCATCATCCCAACTGACGAACTCACTCCATGATTTTTCAGAGGGGTTGGTTGAAACCATCAACCAGAAAATGTTATTAACCATTATTAACCAATATTAACCATTATTAACAGTATATTAACCATATTAACCATGGGAAATCAACCAGATATGTTCTTCTCAGATATCAATGGCCCCAAGAGTCGAGAAGTCTTGGGGATGTGCCGATCGGCTGACCGTGAAATGAGCCAGGTAAGTTACGAAAGTTACCGCAAAATAGCCGGCCTGGTAAACATACAAAAAGCTATTGAAAATGGTGATTTAGTTCGTGGATTTTCCCATTAAAAATGGTGATTTTCCATAGTTATGTGAAAGTTTACCAGAGGGTAGCACTAATTGCTAGGTCCCCAAGTAAGGTTTCCTGATTTGCAAGTAGTGTATGTATATGCAACCGAGCGAAACTCATAGAGAACTAATATGATTTGATTCCATGTTTGCTTGTTCAGTTGCCTCTCTGAGAATTGACAGCTATTTGGGTCAGTCTGAACCACGGGTACCATTTCAGATTGCCATTCTGGTTGCCCCATGTTAAAACATCATTGGTTATATACATCCAATTGTGTCCCCATGAAATCTGCTTGAAATTGCTGTTTATATCTTACATCATTAGTACATATATACTTGTAAATTATCACTGCTTGAGACTACTTTAACAATGATGCAAAGAGCAATTTCATGGGATGGATGGGGTTGCAGCATACTTTTCGGTTGGAAATACGATGAGATACTGGGCAACAATACTATTTCAGAACATCAAATCCTCATTAATTAGGAAGCAATCACCATTTCAGTCTATTTCAGTATCGTGATAGCTACTATAGAAATTTGGGGAGTTGATCGTAATATTACCTTAGATCACTATTGGGACGACACTATCCCTATCATTAGTTTGTTATCACTGTTTAACCACCTATCATTAAATCAGTGTAGGCCATATATCCAATTATATCTCCATCACATCCGTATCGTTGGTAAGCGATAACTTTTCAGTCTATTTCAATACTTAGATGGGCCATGGAGTTAGTGAGCTAGTTCGTCAATGGATTCTTGTTGGGAGATGGTGATAATTCACTTACTCAACGGGAATCGCTCATCCCGCGGCCCATTCTATAGGATTTGATGCTCCTATCTTTTTGGCTGCTTGGCTGCTAGTAGTTCGTGGCAGGATGCCCCTCCCGCGCAGACCTTCCAGAGCTTCCAGGTCCTGGTGTTTGGGATTGAAATGGGATGACTCCCATTGGCTCAACCACCACACCAACCAGTTGGTCCCCCATGTCATGCTCCAAGTCACTATATGTACCAACCAGCTACCAGCCATGTGTCATCCCTCCATGTCACTCCGGAGGAGGCCCTACCTGCTAAGCGGAGCAGGGAACTTGGGATCAGCCAGACTTTGGTGGGGTTGCCTAGATGGGGATGGGTCAAAACCCTGGTACCTAGTGAACCCCAAAATAGCTGGTAAATGGATGTTCATCCCACTAAAAATGTATCTATAGGTATTGACCCATACCCAGATCATCACGCAGACACTGTTTCAAATGTTGTTCAGCCACCCTCGGGTCATGAAACATGGCATGCTGGAAACCCATTCGATGATTTTCCCATGGAATTTTCGGAGAGCCACGGTTTTTTTACCGGAGGGTGTCTAGGAGAATGATCCCCACAAATGGGGAACCAACAGGGGATCAACGGACTGATCATATCCGGATAAAGTAAATCAGTAGCACCGGGATCCCTCTGGAAATGTCCCGGGATCACAATGGTTAACCGTCCCAAGAATTGGGGCCCACAAGATTCCCTGACATGACAAGATTGTTTTGGTGGATTTCCGTGGTGAGTTGCTGGTCACATGCAGGTATTCCGTGCAGGTAATTATCAGTGTTTTAAGGCAACCCCCTCCGTCGAGAGATTATAACGAGCTGATTTTTCGTGATCCAAAATCGCTCCGGCCCAAATCCAAGCAATCTAGGAAGCTCTACACAATCGTTCAATGTTTTCTTGTACAGAAATTGCACGTTGAATGAGGTCCGGTAAAAAACTAAGTAATATGCCAATGTTTGTTGGCACCTGAATAGAAAACAAATATATAACATGTCAATTCTATCCTGGTTTTGGTGAGCAAACCCTCCCCAGTTTAGATCAGTTGTGGCCCAGTTGAATCCGACGGCAAAAGCGAAGGCAGGGAACGTGTGGTCGTGCAGTCAGACTCTAAAGCTTTGATGCATCATCACCAGAAGCGGTGGTTAGATCAGGTTGTTGTTGTTGTTGTTGTTGTTTTTGTTTTTTAACGACTTACATCATGATATTATAATTATATATAATTATATTATTATTATTACTATTATTATTATGATTATTATTATTATTATCACAGGTACATGTAAGTGGGGATTGGTCTGTGGTTTCAAGCATCTTTCATATCGTCGATTTGATGATTACTCCAAGATGAGTGCATTTTGAGGGGCTTGAACCCATTAAGTATGATCTTTCCAACCAAACATGGCTTACTTGACATTATTGAAATATCAGTATTTGCGCCGAAGGAATCCGACGGTTGCTTAGTAAGTTACTCTAAATCCATCCACATCCATAGCCCTATGCTTTCAGTATCGTTTCAGTATCGTGATTTTGGTTTCCTTCCGGTGTACCCCAAAATTTCGAAACTTAGACCATGGCTTAGTATCGAAACGCATGGTGACTTTGGGATCCCCCATGTGATGAATTTGCTGAAAGGCTCCAGAAATGCCGTCGGCACTGCGCAGCCCTTAGTGAAAGGGATACTGTGGCACTCTGACGAACTTGAGTTCAAGATTTCAAGCTTCCCTTTAAAAACAAATTAATGAAGAACTGGTTGGTGGTGACTGGAACATGAATCTTATTTTCCCATTCAGTTGGGAATGTCATCATCCCAACTGACTTTCACTCCATCATTTTTCAGAGGGGTAGGTAGGTTGAAACCACCAACCAGATTATTATTAACCATCATTAACCATATATAATAACCATCATCATTAACCATGAAATTAACAGTGTATTAACCATGCTATTTTCCATGTTATTTTCAGATTTTCCATGAAATCAACCATCCAGTTCTTCATTTCAAGCCGCCGAAAAAGCGCCCTTTGTGGAGCGCAGGAGAACTTCTCCAGTGACCATAGATGTGCCGACCGTGGAGGACGTCCAACCGAAAGGGCCTTTGGGGATTTGGCGATTGTTCTTAAATGTGTTCTTAAGTCATGTTACCCTCAAGTGAATAGTGATTAATAGTGGTTGATAATGATAATTAATGGTGATTAATGGTGATTAATGGTGATTTACCCTCCGGTAAACGTTTACATAACGAACTGGAAAGATCCACCATTTTCAATGGGAAAACATCCACTATTTCTATGGCAATTTTCAATAGCTATGTTAAATTACCAGAGGGTATCTTTCAGGACGATGACATTTTCAGTCAGAGAATATTCAGACCTTGGCTGGTTGCCAGTCTTGGGGTTATTTTTGTCAAGACTAAGTGGGGTTTATCCTCTACATAAGTGGCTCAAAAAAACCCACGTATACCAACAACTTATCAAGCGAGATGATCCTCCACGTGACGCGGGCCACATTCAGGGTGTAACCCCAAACACTGACTGAGCGAGCTCAAGCCGGCTTGAGTTCAGGGCACAGCCTGGGACCCTTGGACTCTGGAACCAGCGGTAGCCTGTCAGAGAAATTGATGTGGGTTTGTCTGAGAATAGGCTAGCCCAAGATCCCATTGCCATGATTTTGCTTCTTGAAATGGCAATGTTCGCAGCGTATGTTCCCATCATTTTTCTACTGGTGGTTTCAAACATGACTTTTATTTTCCATTTCATATATGGGGGATAGATAATCCTTGCCATTGACTTTCATATTTTTCAAGATGGTTGAAACCACCAACCAGCCATGATTTTTCTCCCATATTTTGAACTGGTTGGTGGTTTGGAACATGAATTTTATTTTTCCATTCAGTTGGGAATGTTATCATCCCAACTGACTCTAATATTTTTCAAGATGGTTAAAACCACCAACCAGTAATTATTATCAACCATCATTAAGCATATAATAACCATATAATAACCATATATTAACCATATATTAACCACTGAAGTATCCCCTTTTTGGACCTAAAGAGACGGAGGATTCCCCTCCGGCCAAAAAGCCAAAGACCGAGACACTGCCCGAGATCGTGGGGCGCTCAGCGGAGCAGCATCTGGCGATCTGGCAGTGGTGTGTTGGTGTGGGCAATAGAAATGGATATAGTATGATATGGTTCAAAAAGCCGGGTACCGTGGTAAACCCCAAAATCATGGTGATTTACGGATGTTTATCCCCAAATAGGATACAACAAACTGAAAATAGGAGCCGGTGAGCAGGAACAGAAATCAAACCTCCAAATTCTTATGCTTTGAGAACTTTTGAGGCATCAACCTGACGACTGATAGACAAATTTAGTCTGACACCCCTGTGACGCATTTATCGACATGCGGACTGACACACATACCTGTTCACAAAAAGAGACGTCTGGTACGTTGACGCGCTTCCGTATTTTTATGCACACTGCGGCAAATACTGGCAAACTTTCATATTGACCGGCACATGGGCACAAGTATTGCTCCAGTTATTTACTGGCATGTGCTCTGACACAAATGCTCACACATTGGCTGAGATAATGTGTGGTGAGGTTCTGACTGACATTGATTTATACTGACCCATCAAGTGTCATTTGGACAAACATGCTGACATGTATACTGACTCGCACGTCAAGTAAGTTTGCGTGTTGTCAGCCAAACCACTGTTTAAGCCTTGTGTGCTGTGAAGACAAAGACGGCATGAAAACACGAAGATGAAGATGTGCAATCCCCGAATTGGTTTCAGGAAAAAATTGCAGGACGCTTCCATATTTGATGGCAAATAAAACATGTAATCCAGCAAGAATGTTCCCTTCAACCGATCCATTGATTGAAGAATGGGAAGAACCGTTTATACTGACGTAAAATCTGTAGAGACCTTTACCTGACCGATGGGGGAGACTAAGGACAACACGGATATATTTTCTGGTCAATGTGGAACCCTGATTAGTGTGGGTATACTGTATTGTGGTAAGTTGTTCCAAAACAATTCTGAATCAGTGTAATCGTTTGGGTGGTCGGGTATTGTGTCAAGTTTTTTTTCAGCATTTTTTAAGTTGCTTTCTCAGCATGTTTTTCATTTTTTCAGCATTATTGAAAATAATTAATTATTTAATCAATTAATAAATAGTTGTTTGTTGTGGTGGTCCTCTATTGTGTCCAGCTGTTGTCTGCAGAAACAGGTTTTTTTGGTTTTGACCCATCAGCAAGATTGATCTTCAATAGTATGTTTGTTGTGGTGGTCCTCTATTGTGTCCAGCTGTTGTTTGGAGAACAACTTTTTTAAGGTTGTGACCCATCAGCAAGATTGATCTTCAATAGTATGTTTGTTGTGGTGGTCCTCTATCGTGTCAAGCTTTTTTTTTGAAGTGAACATGTTCCAAAATCCTTTTCTCCTTTCCTTTTCATTTCCTTTGCTAATACTTTTCTCTTTTGCACTTTCTTAGCTCCATTCTTTTGAACTTCTCAAAATGTCTAATTTCCCAAAATATAGGATGTCTTATTAAAACCGAATTAAAAAACAGCACTCAAACAATTTTCAAGGTGGTAGCCCATGCGCAGCATTGATCTTCAAGAGTATCTTTGTTGTGGTGGTCCTCTATTGTGTCAAGCTTTTTTTTTTGATGTGAACTCCTTTTCTCATTTCCTTTGCTAATACCTTTCTCTTTTTAACTTTCTTAGCTCATTTTTTTTGGGAATTCTCGAAATGTCTAATTATCTAATTGAAAGTAAATTGAAATCAATTGAACGTATATTTAGCAAATTGAAATCAAGTGAAAATCAATTGAAATCAATTGAACGTAAATTGAAATCAATTGAACATCAATTGAAAGTAAATTGAAATCGATTGAAAATCAATTGAACATCAATTGAAAGTAAATTGAAATCGATTGAAAATCAATTGAAGTCAATTGAAAGTAAATTGAATTCAATTGAAAATCAATTGAACATCAATTGAAAGTAAATTGAATTCGATTGAAAATCAATTGAAATCAATTGAAAGTAAATCAAAAGCAATTGAAAATTAATTGAAAGTAAATTGAAACTCAATTGAAATCAATTGAAAGCAATTTGAAGTCAATTGAAAATCAATTGAAATCAATTGAAAGCAAATTGAAATCTATCAAAATAGATTGCTTCAATTTTATTCAGACCCCGTTACTTGAAAAAAGAACACATTAAAGAGAGTCTCAGAATTGTTCAGTGGTGAAGGCCCTACACTAATCAGGATCCAACATTATTAATTATATAATATTAGGTATGTGAATTATTGGTTTCCTGGTCTTGGACAAGATCGCTGGCTCATGGGTTCTTTTGACTTTGCACGCATCCTGGTATTGCAAAGCCGTGTGCATTTGAGCGACCTATTCTATCTCAGGATGCGAAACCACTAACTCCACACTAACCCAATGATATGGAATGGTATGGTATGGTATGGTGAATCAGACCGGCTGAGCTCACATTGATGGGGCGAATGCATCAGGATGTGGTGCTGTTACTAAACCACCTTGTTTATCATCCAGTAAACCAACATAGATGTGGAAAATCCACCATAAGCAAATCATATCAAATCATGTCCGGAGGAAACAACCATGAAATTCCATAGCATTCCAGAGCTATATGTTCGATTACGGATACCCTTTGACACTCAAACATGGCTGAAAAAGACCCGGGAGTTTTATGTTTTTCTCAGATGCCCATGGTCAACTCATGTCATGTCAACTCGATGGCCCAGTTGAAACCCACTGCGAAAGCAAAGGCACCGTTGTGCGGTCGTGTTTTTTTCGTTCGGTCGTGGATGGGTCAGAAATGCGAACATATTTTCGAAGGACTTCGTGTGGTTGTTGAGTTTGGGCAAACCTGGTGTATCACCCGAAACGGACATTATTTGGATACTGGATACAGTACCACGTAATGGGCAATTTAGTGAGCCCTGACGGGGGGGGTGCGGCAGTCGCCACACGGGAATTAACCTGTCCACAAGTACCTCCTCAATAAAATCAGCTTTGGCTGATGCAGCCACGTGCTGCCACCTTACACAAACAGTTCCGTGCTGTCACCTTACCAAACCAGCTTCATGCTGGTTGCAGCTTCGTGCTGCCGGTGGTGCGTCGACTTGGCGGTGCCTACCACCTCTTCAAAGGATGGAATGGGCAATTTAGTGACTGCAATGTTTGGGCAAACTCCACAATCTCATGGCTGAGAGGAGGACACATCATTGATTATACATCCACTAACCACTGGCTGACTAGTCAGGTTATGGTCTGATTTTTACGAACAGAATATCTCCTACTATCTCTTTATTCGATCACGGCTTAGTTGAGGGCATCAAAAGATATTGGAATTTGTCCAGCAGGAATCCCACCTTATGGTACATGTTCGTGAAAATAAATGGTATGGCGCTTGTGACACTCCAAGACCGTCCAAATGAACACCACAGGAAGCTGTGTCTTTGTTCATTACATCAAGTACTGTACATCATATTACTTTTGTTGCTTATGTCAATATCCATCACTACCCCAGCTCTTGGTTGCGCCCCATTTTTACATGTACTCTACTGTATATCACGTCCTTTTCCGGTATTTCCCACTGCTTTTCGCAATATATTTCTGATCATTTCTGTTGGTGAAATCGCCACAATTGTTGATCACCTGTGTTGCTGACATACATTTACATCCCCATTTCCACCGGTGATATCAGTTCTTTGTTTGGTCATGCCGGCAATGGGATCCCAAATTTGGAAACTTATCGTGACACTCCTGGTTTCCACCCGATGCCCAAGAAGGATACCTAACTCCCCAAAACAATTGGAGAGTGTTCGTAATTAGACTCAACATGACATTTCTTTCAGACCCGGTGGCACCCCAATTTGGATTTATACTAAATTCCCCAAATACAAGAGAGAAAAGTCATTCGCCATGATTTCAGTAAGACTTTCCTGTGGTTTCGTCTCAGGCGGGGGTACGCATGTTGGGGACTGTGCACAACCCTTAGTCACTGAAAACATGGAAACGGTGAAACGCTGAAACGTGGGAGTTTACCACTTGCAGATCCAACAACAAGCCAATGCCAAGTTGGGAATTAGTGCAATATAATATATGATATCTTATAACACTAGAAAAAATGTTGTTCTAATGATATGTCTATATACATGCTTGGGAAGCCAATACTTCATTGTCAGTGCAAAATAAATTTCCTTCAAGAGGACCTAAGCGGCTTTGTTGGACCTAGGCGTTTTGCCTTAAACTCCAGGGGTCAAGAGGATGGAAGCCACAATAGACTCAGGGATTTGTCGGCCAAGCATCCGCATGCTACTCCTCACTGGAGATTTCTGAACCTACGAATCCTTTCCCCCCCTTTTTTCCGCCCGTTTGCGAAGCCCCTGGTTTTAGTGATGTGTTTATTTTGGGTCCAACATTTTTTTTTCGAAAAAAACGATGTTCATTTTTCTAGCGGGAAGGGATGAGTATTTCTATCAGCAGATGTAGAAAGTCCAGTGGTGTTGAGGCCGGCTTGTACTGGGGACGATCAGCTTGGTAATCCCATCAACCAATCAATGGGAGATCTTCAGGATCCAACAGATGGAGGTACTGTACCATATTTCTGGCCATATTTTGTGGGGATATTCCCTTACATAGGCCTGAAAAATAGGCCTCATATATGGTAGGTACCTCCAATGAATCGGTTCCTGAGTCATGGCCATTGAAGCAATATCAACCAATATCCACTGAGGAATCGTCACATGCTCAATGGGAGATTTTCAATCTGCTGCGAGGACAGAAAAATCGTCGATGGATGCGGAGAGTAAGATTTTCAGTAAGATCATGGTATGGTTGAAAAAGTGTGACAGTGTGGCTTTTAAAGGTCTCTGCTTGATGATGTTTTTGAGCCAGTTTGCTGCCAGTTGCTGAATCTTGAGTCGGACCATCAAAATTGTAAGTCATACCCTTTCTGTAGTCATACGGTGTGGAAGTAAGTGCCCAGAACAATGAGGTGTGCTGTGTGCTGTCTGATGATTCAGTGGCTCTTGCCCAGTCAAGGGTCTGACCCGAATCTGGATGTTACGTCAGTGTCTTCTCCTTCTCCTACCTACGCTTCTTCCTCCAGACTCTTCTCCCGGATATTTGCTTCGCTTCTTCGCCATAAAACTCTGCACGGATGTGTCTGAAAATGTGGTGAAAAACCACCCCAAGCCTTGCCAATTCAGTTAGTATAGGAATGATGAATCATGATTCATCAAATTGGCGATCAGATGGCCAAAATCTGATGAACTCATGGATTTAGAGTACCCTATTTTCAGAGATAAACCCACTCCGTGGTCTGCGTGGTCAGTCGCAATGCGTGGGTGAATGCGTCGTAGTATTTGTGTATGGCGCCGGGCTGGTAAAAACCTGCGCGGTTTTTTGATTGTCAGATTTGCAGGGTATTTACAGTACACGAACTAACTTTGTTTTCCATGATGGAAGAATGATTATGAATTTTGACATGCGTGATTATTCTTCTTTGCTAAGTGACTTTCCTGTGCAAGCCAGCATGTCCCAACGTTGGAAGTTACTTGAAAAAGAAAAGAGCGTATAGCTTGAAAGTTTCTTGGAAAAGATAAGGGCGTAGCATCAAAAGCGCCTTGGAAGTTACTTGAGAGAGTCAAGAAATTGGCTTCAAGGGCGTGTTGGAAGCGGCTTGAGAAAGAGAAGAGCATAGCATCAAGAGCGTTGGAAGCAACTTGAGAAAGATAAGATCGTAGCCTCAAGAGCGTGTTGGAAGTTAATTAAGCAAGATAAGAGTGCAGCATCAAGAGCGTGTTGGAAGCTACTTGGGAAAGAGAAGGGCATAGCTTCAAAAGCGCGTTGGAGGTTACTTGAGACAGAAAAAGAGCGTAGCATCAAGAGCCTTTTGTAAGTTACTTGAGAAAGAAAAGATCGTAGCGTCAAGAGCGTGTTGGAATTTACTTCAGAATTGAAAATATTGAAAAGTTGAAAAGAGCGTAGCATCAAGAGCGTGTTGGAAGTTACTTGAGAAAGAACAGATATGAAAGATCATAGCGTCAAGAGCGTGTTGGAAGTTACTTGAGAAAGAACAGATATGAAAGATCATAGCGTCAAGAGCGTGTTGGAAGTTACTTGAAAAAGGAATATCATAGCGTCAAGAGCATGTTGGAAGTTACTTCAGAATGAAAAACATGAAAAGAGCGTAGCATCAAGAGTGTGTTGGAAGTTACTTCAGAATGAAAAATGTGAAGTTTGTTTTCCATGATGGAATAATTGTTTTGAATTTTGGCATGCATGGGTATTTTTCTTCGCTGAGTGACTTTCCTGTGCAAACCAGCATGTCCCAACGTTGGAAGTTACTTGATACAGAAAAGAGCATAGCATCAAGAGAGTGTTGGAAGAAGAATTCAAGGCAACAGAACGTTATTACCCCTGTGTGCCAACCCGGTGTGCCATCCATGATGAGGTGTTTTGTGAACGGAACAACGCAAAAAAAAACCGCCAGCGCAATTTTCACCTGGCATTCATAACTTAACTATATCTGAAGTCAGCTTCAACAACTCCTGACAACCAAGAAACCAGTACATCTTCAGCGGGTCATGGGAGTCATTAACAAAAAACACAGAATTCATTGCGGGTTTCTAGCGGCCCGACACCTTTTTGTATGTCACTGTTACACATGCCAATACACGTGTCAGACACTTGTCAGGCGGTTTGAGGCTGCATCTGCGACACAAACCACATACTGTATCGATTGATGGGTTGCAGATGTGTTTCTTATTGGTGGTTTCAAACATGACTGGATTATGTTCCATTTCATATATGGGATAATCCCAACCCCATTGACTTTCATATTTTTCAAAATGGTTATTGCACCACCAACCAGGTTTCTTCGACGCACCTTGCTCTATCCAGGAGATCTCAGGTGTCCATGGCAGGGATGCAGAAATCCCACCAGAGCACGTGCTCCCTGGCCTGTTCCAGGCTACCCAGGCTACCTGGGGAATCCTACCGAGTAATCCTCTGGTAAACCTACAAAAAACTATTGAAAATGGCCCAGTCGAAATAGTGGATTTACCCACTGAAAATTCCAGTTCGCTACGTAAACGTAGGTTTACCAGGCCGGGTAATCTTCGAAATGGAAAGTCATCGAACGCAATTGAGATCCGATCCTGCGACGAGGGCCGAGCACCAAAAAAGGTATTCTGGGTGGTTAGACCCTGCCAGGTACCCATGAATCTGAAAGTCGGGGACCGTGTCTCGTTCGTCGTCCGGGAGTCAGAGGCAGGGCCGAAAAACATCCTCAACGACAGGGAAGTTGATGATATTACCATCTGGTTGGTGGTTTGGAACATGTGTTATTGTTCCATATATTGGGAATAATACTCCCATTTGACTTTCATATTTTTCAAGATGGCTACAACCACCAACCAGTATATATATATATATTTGTATATATATATATATTGAACATAGCCATGGAAAATCACCAGTTTTAATAGGTAAACCCAGGTAAACCATCTATTTCTATGGGCCATGGCTTCCATGGCTATGTTAAATAACCAGAGGGTACATGCAACGGATGGGTTGCCCGTAACTCTTGCTTGAAACCTGTCCCGGATCATAATAGACGACCGGAAGCGGAACATGATATGGAAACTGGATAAGATGGTATGGGAACTAGGAACTGGGCAATTGTTGGCGACTTTTGAGACACTATATTTTTGGATGCGGGAAGGGTTTCAAATGAGATTATCACTAGTTGCCAGTTCTGGGAGTGATGCCATTCTGCCAGAGCACCCCAGTCTCAAGACGCCTCTGAAAGTTGTTCAGCATTGGCCAGACATTTAAGTGACATCCACAACTTTTCAACAAAAGAAAACAACTGAAACTCAGCATTTTTTAGTTTCAGTTTCGTTTCGACGAGTCCAGGATCAGCAATCCTCGCCGATCTGGGCCAAGAACCTTCAGGCTCACAGGGCTTGGATGCTTTCAGGATCCTATGCAATCCCATGACGGATCCTAACGGTGCTGCTATATATAGTGTGCCATGGATCCCATCAATATACCCCAGTCATGTTAGCATATATACCATACATGGATCCTATGGGTATATATGCTAACATTGGGGGTATATTGATGGTAAATGTTGCCATATATAGCAGCACCATGTATCCTATGGGGTATGGTTGGATGCTTTCAGGTAAATTCAATGTGATTATACAAATTGATGCTTTCCATCAATTGCCATCTCCAATTCTTGTTGCAGAAATCACGAAATCACTTTGTGTCATGCAGCCGTCCAAGCCTGCAGTTTTTGATAGATCCACCTGTGTCATGGATCCTATTACCCCTGAAGAATCGATGGTTACATAGAATATTAAACATATCTTATACATATCTTATACATATACATATACATATGTATATATATATCCATTATATATAATATCAACATTATAAACATTCCCAAAACTGTCTGGGTCCCCAACTGACTTGACTCTTCCCCTTGATAGTGATTCCGTCAATTCATTTGGAGTTTCTGTAGTCAATATTGGGGGATGGTGGGATGGATGATCTTTAATGCATATATCATATTCTTGGTTACATATACATTATATAACTTTATATTCCATTATACTAGAATGTGAGGCCCCTAAATGTGATGTTAGTTGGTTATAGTTGGTTAACAAAAGCCCCAGTAACTAGTTCGTTATTTGCGTACCATAAACCATAGTGAAATTGGAGTTATTGGCACCAACTTAGCTATCGAACGGGGGCCTCACATTGTATGTTTTGTTGGTTAAATCATGTAAAATCCTTCATTCATCCCATGGACGGCACAAAGGGCGGCTCCAAGTCCGCTGCCAGGTGCTATCTGCTCCCAGGGCCCCAGCCCTCAGGGCCCCTGCCCTCAGGGCCCCTGCCACGGCCAAGCCTGCGAAGATGGCAGATGGCAAGGCAACGCCTGGGCAATGCGGAGTGAGTTCACCCAAACTACATAGGGTGCGCTCCGTGTGGGGTTTTAACATGTTTACATCTGTTTTAACCAGTACCAGCACATTGGACTTTAAGGGGGGAAAACAGGGATTTAGTATGATTTAACCAAC